GCCTCATTCAGACATCGCAGCAAATGAAGCGAGGCCAAGGAGGAAGGAGTTGGGGCAGCTTGTGGTTTGGTTCACAGCCTTCCCAGCCGAGCCTTGGTGGAGTGTGCGTGCGCGCGTGTGTGTTTTTTTTAAAGAAAATTCTAGAAAATCAGTTCTTTGAAGTCACGCTCCCGGGTGTACCATTTTTGTGGCTTCCTTCCAACCGAGGCGCTATCAAAAATCTGCAATGGGAATAGCTTTGCGCGGGAAAAAGATAAAGGTTGGCAAAGAGGCCTTAAGAATAGAAAGTGAGCACTTCGAAAAGGGGAACAGAGAACTCAACAGCCGCCCGCTCACCGCAGTATTTGTGTCTAGGAGCTAGCATTTGTAACTGCTGTTCGAAAATTACCTGTAAGAAAACACACAAAGACGCACACACCTACACCAAAAGCAAAACAAAAACCCACCAGGGAATTTGCCTGCCACCCAGGTTGGCTCGTATTCTGGAGGGACCTCATCCCGCAATGTTTAGCATTGTCCTACTATAAAGAGCCGCCACAGAGATTACCGTTTTCCCAACAACACTTCGGACACTATTATAATGCCACAGCCCGCCTCAACCACGCAACCACCTTAGCTTTTGCAATACTGTACAAGCTAACAATCCCAGTTGTGCCTGTGTGGAAGCTGAGGGAAAGGGCTGGTGGCTTCAGGCAGAAAGTCCTATTTATCATCAAGCTTTGATCTTAATTCCAGTGCAAATAAGACGGCCGTTGGCTTCAATAGCCTGAAGCCATAAAGCTTCTAAGGGCTTTATTGGAGGAACAGCAAGCTTTAAGCTGGTTTCAGGTTCACAGATGGGTTTCTGAATTCTCTCTCCTAGCTGTGTTTCCTCCCTTCCCAAGGGTTTGTTTGGAGTTACACTTCCATGGGAATTACACAAGAACTGGGGCGCTCCCTCAGGCAATTGGTCTCTCCTGCACCCCCTCCTAAGCTTGTGCGGTTTCAATGCTGTCAAATACTTTCCTTTTTGGTACGTTTCGCACTTTACACTCTGCCCCCCTCTCTTTCTCTATAAGGATAGGAGGCAAGGCAGTCGTGGCTCCAATCTCCCCAGGCAAAGGGAGATGATTTGTTCAAACCAGGAGCACAATTAGCTTTAAGGGATGCATTTAATTTTTGGCTTTTTACTCGTGATAATTTGCAAGTACGGTGTACGGTACCGGGGAGAGATTTCTGACATTCTCTCTTCCAAGAACATCCTTTTAGGATGCAGAATACTTAATGGTACTTAACGGTCAGTACTGTTGCTTTTGAACCATGGTTATCAATGGTCTTGATTCTGCCCCAACCATAGTTGGGATTCTGGATATGCCATTTTTTTTAAAAAAAGTTGCTTTTCCTTATTCACTTGACCACTATGTTCTGTGCCTCAACTAAGTAGAGATCCTTTTTGGGATCTTAAAAGGGAAGAGTGGGGAATGAGAAGTTCGCTTTGTATCACATCAGGGATTAAACCAGATCAGGTGTGGTCAACTATGCAGCTTTAAGACCTGTGGACTTCAACTCCCAGAACTCCGGGGGCATCTGAAGTTAGAATTAAAATAAAAGAGTTGGAAGGGACCTTGAAGGTCTTCTAGTCCAACCCCTTGCTCAGTCAGAAAACCCTATCGCATTTCAGACAAATGGTTGTTCAGTCTCTTCATTAAAAACTTTTAATGTTGGGGCATTTACAACTTCTGGAGGCCACTTGTTCCACTGATTAATTGTTCTAACTGTCAGGAAATTTCTCCTTAGTTCTAAGTTGCTTCTCTCCTTGATTAGTTTCCATCCATGGTTTCTTGTCCTGCCTTTGGGTATTTTGGAGAATAGCTTGACTCCTTTTTTGTGGTAGCCCCTCAAATACTGGAAGACTGCTATCATCAGGGATGGGATTCTACCAGTTTGCACCTATTCGCTAGAACCGGTTGTTAACATTCTAAGCAGTTCGGAGAACCGGTTGTTAGAAGAAATTACTGGCCTAATCCTGTAAGGAAGGCAGGAAGGAAACCATCTGGTGTTGCTTACAGAAACTGCCTTTCCGTTGACCCTTATTACATTCTTGGCAGGACTAGACTTCCTGTCTCTGGAATTTCTCTGGAGTTTTTTTCCTCTCCTTTGCTGGTACTTTGCTTGTGTGGAGTGACCATTCAAAGTTACAATGGCACTGAAAAAAGTGACTTATGACCATTATTCACACTTAATGGCTGTTGCAGCATCTCCACAGTTATGATAGGCCATGTGAGGAGATGCGTGCCTCGATGTGAGTGATATTGAGTTGGCCACACCCCACCAATAACATGACCACCAAGCCACGCCCACCAATTAAGCCATGCCCACAGAACCGGTTGTTAAAAAATTTGAATCCCACCCCTGGTTAGTACCACTTTATTATGGGGTTAACTGGGCTAACTGCAAGTGGTATTTTTGGATTGAAAATGTTTACGGGGTTGTTTTGGAAGGAGACGATGAGAAAATCTCATTTGTACGCTGCCTTCCATGCCACATACGTCCAGATCTGTAACTCCGTAACTGCCAACTAGTATCCTATTCTGACCTTGTCACTCAGTTTTGGACATCTGATGTCCTCACGGTTTCCTTTGTTTGGAGAATAGCTTGACTCCCTCTTCTTTTCTGGCAACCCCTGAGATACTGGAACGAACACTGCTATTGTGTCAAGTTGGAGTTGAAGTCCACAGGTTGCTTTTAGCTGCCCACCTCTGAGCAAGACAGTTTGTGAAGCTCAGCCTGAACCTAAGATTTCCTTGATGTGCCAAGGATTGGAGCTTTCCCTCTTTAACTGACCAAGGGCGAAGGCTCTTCGGCGTCACTCTGTAAAGGACGGGATTGTGACTAAGGGAAAGGCTTCTTTTGATCGTTCCTTCCTTCGTCTCTCTTAGCTATTTTGAAAGGAAATGTGACAGTTCTTTTGTGTGCATTCGGTGTTTGTGTCCCAGAGATATTTCCCCCCCTGTCACCCCACAACACATGTGGAGTTCATTGCACTGGATCAGAAATTTCATTATTTCCCCCCCCCTCCCTTGTAGCTCTAAGTGTACAATTTAGTCTTGCACCGTGAAAACTCTTCATAGGTTAAGAACGAACCTTGTCTGCTTCAAGGCAGGTAGTCCTTGACTTACGACCACAACCGAGCCCAAAATGTCTGTTGCTAAGGGAAGCGTTTAAGTGAGTGTTACCCCTTTGTGACCTTTCTTGCCCAAAGATGTTAAGTGGATCTTAGCACTTGCTAAGTTAGTTAACAGCTTGTTAAATGGAGTCTTCCCATTCTCTTCGCTTGTCAGAAAGTCACAAGAAGGGACACTGCAATCGTCATAAATACATCTGCCAAGCATCCACATTTTGATCACGTGTTCTTGGGGAAGCTGCAGTGGTCATTAAGTGTGAAAAATGGACGTAAGTCACCTTTTTCAGTGCTGTCGTAACTTAGAACGATCAGTCAATGAATTGTTGTAAGTCAAGGATTACCTGTAAACTGCCGGAAAGGGGTTCCTGGGCATTCCCCACTTTTCTTCCTGCCCAGATGATTCTACTGTAACAAATTCACTGTGGTACTACCTTGTGCATAGAAGCCATTAATCATTAAAAAAAATGAGAGGAAGAACTACCTTTATGGCTTTGTTTGATTGCATATAGTTCCTGTACAGAGCACGGAAACCGGATGTCTTTAACTTTTATAGATGGAGGCAAAACCCAGTGAGAAGTTTGACCTTCCTTCCCCCCACCCCCCCCCCCCCCCCCCCAGTCAGAAAATGGGATTTTGCAGTATCCTTTCCCCAGGAGTGGAGAGGGAATGGAGATTTTACGGTATCCTTTTCCTGCCGCGCCCACCAAGTCACACCCATAGAACCAGTAGTAAAAATTTTTGAATCCCACCAACTGGCCAGCATGACTAAACGCCGAAGGCGCATGGAACGCCGTTCCCTTCCCACCAAAGTGGTGCCTGTTTTTCTACTTGCATTTTTACATGCTTTCGAACTGGCTAGGTTGACAGAAGCTGGGACCAGGAACGGGAGCTCACTCTGTTAGCAGCGCTAGGGATTCGAACCGCCGAACTGCTGACCTTTCTGATCAACAAGCTCAGCATCTTAGCCACTGAGCCACCGCGTCCTTGAAGTTATCTTTACCAGGAATCAATAAGTCATCTGTAGGAAGATATCTAGCAAATAGGTAAAGCAAGCCTTGCAAGCATGAAGATCAAAATGGTTGAAATCAGAAGACCGTTCTCTGCTCAATGCTGACGTTTTCCATTAGATCATCGTAAGATTTTGGAGATTTAAAGCAGAAAGTTAAATCTTAATTCATTTTATGCACCATATTAGGTGCTGTTGGGATGTTACTTCAATAATAGGGCACGTGGGACCATCCTATTTTGTAATCAGTTTTGGATAGATTTACCTCCTAGATCAAAACACTGAAATCTCTTTACTGCAGCCACTGGAATTAACAGCGGCTCACACAAACAGCTGCTTGCTAAGCAGAGTACCTAATTCAGGACTGTTTGATCGGTACAGAATCAAGCTCACACATCTTTTGGTGCACCTTCTTAGCTAGACCCCCCCCAAATGTTCATTAAAAAGAAAAGGCTTTTAAAGTTGCAGTGGTCATTAAAACTCCGGCCGATATGTGACAGAGACCGTTTATGATAGGATTCACAATTTCCCTTCTTATTTTTGTGGCGGCGGGCTGTTATGTGGTGGGCCTTTTCGTTTTAACTGTCGTTGTGCACAAAACTAAATTTCAGAAACGACATGTCAATTTTGAGAGAATGTGGCTCCCAGTGCTGTTTTGTGGAAGGAAGCATCTGGCAGACCCTGGCTATTTTGGATTATAACTTGTGGGAAGTGAAATCAAATACGTAACTCTAAACCAAGAGGAGAGAGTTGGGTTTATTAGCCTGCTTTGTCCTTTGTCCCAAACTTCAAAGCAAAGGTAAGATGGAAGTCTTTTATTTGTATCCCTGTTTTATATCACACACAGACACACACACACACATCTCCCCAGGTACACAGAGATGAGATGGATGCTATCGGAAATAGTTGCTTTTTCACCCTGTTTGCAAGAAGAAGTCACTGGGACATCTCGCTGTGTCCGAACAGTCGAAGGATGCTTTGGTGTGTCAGTGAGGAGGGCAGACTTGAAAAGCAGGTGCAAATCCAGGTTTCCTCTACAATTGACAAAAGGGACCTTTAAGGATTGGCAACTAAGAATGTATTTATTCCTGTCTGCATAGTGGGAATTCACAGCCTTTAGAAAGGACATAAAAGTACCCATACCTGGCTAGGTCGAAGTTGGTATGCATAACAAGATTTGTCCTGCTGGGATACCACTCCCAGCACTTACCTCGTTCCAAACTCTTGGAGCAAATCAATATCTCCCATTCTCCTTCCAGAATGTCCAAATTGCTGGCCTTGCTCAATCAGTTCGGAGAGACACTCTTGGGAACCTAACTACCACGGAAAGTGGGTTGCTTCCTTGAAGGGGCTCACGAAGCTGTAAGAGTGCAATTCATTTTCCACCGGTGGGCCTGAGGCCATCCAGGCCAGAGGGCTTCCTGCCTTCCCGCTGGGATGGAGAACGGTTAATCAAGGTGCCTTGGCTCACAACTCCCAAGGGTTCCTCAAAGGGTGATGGAAAGGTCCGCTCCGCCCACAAACCGGGAGTGGATGCTGGTCTGGCTTTGAGGGGGCAGCTGCGATTGGAAGCGCTCAACGTCGGACATGCTGATCTTGCTGCACATGGAGATATCTAAGGACTTCAGCAACCGGCACTCCCGACCAATGGACTTCAGGGTCCTAGAAAGGGGAGATTTCAGCTGATGTTGGTCTCTTTTGTTCTCCACCCACATCCATGAAGAAAGCTCTGCAATAACCTTGCTATACCCATGGTCAGAGATGGCTCATAAGGTCTACAGTGAGGGTCTTGTAGTAGCCGGAGCAATGATATAACCCTTTGCAGGGGGAAGGGCTTTTAAAGGAGGGGTCCTACCACCCAGGCTGTGGATGGCTACCAGGCTGTGGCCCATTGGGAACTCCCCCCTCCCCCCAAAGCGGCAGGCGAAGGCATGAAACTTCATTTGCACGTACAAGGTATTGCGATGGTGTGTGTGACACTATTTCCCTCCACCTACGAAGGTTCTCGGTCATCCAGGTCAGGGGTTGTCCCAAAGGTGCTTTTTTCAAGAGGCAATTGGACTTTCTGGTTTTTCTTCAGAGATATTTCACTTCTCGTCCAAGAAACTTCTTCTGTTCTTCTTCTTCAGAGTTGAAGAAGCTCCTTGGATGAGAAGCAAAACACCTTCAAAGAAAAACCAGACAGTCCAGTTGCCTCTTGAAAAAAGCACCCGTTCCCTCCGCTTGCCGAAACTACCGGAACCGCCTGTCCACCAAAAGGAATTTGGGCCCCCCGTTCCAAAGTACTTCCCAGGGTCAACCGAGGAGCCTTTGGACCGCCTGGGATGCCCGAAGGCCTTCCGGGGGGAGGGGGGGAACTATCTCTTTCAAACGGTGCTCGCTTACCTGGGCGTCAGCTGGTTGCAGCCAGAAAGAACGAGATGCTGCAACCTGCACAAGGATCCGGCTGCCTCGGCGAAGCCTCTGTCCGTCAGGCTTGTGCAGTGGCTCAGCGAAAGGTGCTCCAAGCTCCGGCAGTTGCGCGCAACGGCAAGGAGGCTGGTGTCGGTGATGTTGGGCACGAGGCTGAGGGAGAGGTAGCGAAGATCTGGGAAGCTAATAACCTGCAGAGGAAGGGCAGAACCAAATCCTGCGTGAGGTGCGAGGTGTAAGTCAGGCTGTTGGAGAGAAAAAATCACCCTGAGCCCAGGGATGGGATTCTACCGGTTCGCACCTATTCGCTAGAACCGGTTGTTAACATTCTAAGCAGTTGGGAGAACCGGTTGTTAGAAGAAATTACTGGCCTAATCCTGTAAGGAAGGCAGGAAGGAAACATTCTGGTGTTGCTTACAGAAACTACCTCTAACGGTTAATAATAACCCTTATTACATTCTTGGCAGGACTAGACTTCCTGTCTCAGGAACTTCTCTGGAGTTTTTTTTCCCCTCCTTTGCTGGCACTTTGCTTGCGTGGAGTGACCATTCAAAGTTACAATGGCACTGCAAAAAGTGACTTATGACCATTTTTCACACTTATGACTGTTCCAGCATCCCCACAGACATGAGAGGCCAGGCAAGGAGATGCGTGCCTCGATGTGAATGATATTGAGTTGGCCACGCCCAGCCAGTCACATGACCACCAAGCCTCGCCCACCAACTAAGCCACACTCACAGAACCAGTTAAAAAAATTTGAAACCCACCCCTGCCCGAGCCTATAAAGAGGAAAGACACATGAGTATGGTTTGAAACCTGCTAGACTTTCTCAACCGTGGCGACTTTAAGATGAGTGGACTCCCAACTCCCAGAATTCCCCAGCCAGCTGTGCTTCTTTCTAAATGTTTAATGGAGTAGGCTTTGCATCGATCTCGGTGCCAGAATGCTGGTTTTCTGTGCAGAAGGTCACAATCCCTGGCCAGTTGGAAGAATTTAAAAACACCCAGGGCCAAACCCCAAGAAAACCAACATTTGTTGAGTTTAGAGCATGGATGATGTAGCCTAGGTGTTGCTTCCAAGCCTCCAGCCTTGAGTGAGAAATAAATTATAGGGCTTGCACATCTAGATGGACCAACGATTCTACTTCATTTTCGATGTCCCTCCAATGGCATATGGGCCGTCCCGAACTGGAGAACGCAGCTGACTTCTCAAGCAGACATTCCTTCATAGTTTAGTTTGACTTTATTGTCATTGCACCTCGTACAACGAAATCAAACACCATCTTCAGTGCACGTCATGACCAGGATCATGACAATAAACACAGACACACATCCTTCACCCTTCACACATTGAACCGGAAACTCCTGACACCACACCAACACTGCACTATACAGCAGAATTCAAAAGAGCTGCTGCCCTGGGATAGAAGCTGTTTTTCAGCCCGTTTGTCCCTGTTTTTATTATTATCCTGTACCGTCTGCCAGGTGGTAATAGTTCAAAACAAAGGGTGCCCAGGATGAGATGGATCTTTGAGAAGGTTTTGAACTTTCTTAAGGCAGTGGGAGTTATAAGGCTCTTCCAAAAAGGGGAGAGGGCAACCAATGATCTTCTGGGCTATGACATTAACCCTCTGGAGTTCTTTCCTATCTGCCACTGTGCAATTGGCAAACCATACAGAGGTGCAGTATGTATAGGAACATTGGCCTGAGAGAAGACCGCATCTGCTGGTCCATTGAGCAAAGCAGTTAGCAATAGCAATAAGCCCTTAGACTTATATACCGCTTTACAGACCTCTCTAAGCAGTTTACAGAATCAACATACAGCCCCTAATAATCTGGGTCCTCATCAGAAGGACGGAAGGCTGAGTCAACCTTGAGCCGGTGAGAAACGAGCTGCCGAACTGCTGGCAGTCAGTGGAGGCAGCCTGCAGTACTGCATTCTAACCACCAGGGCGCCACCAGGGCCCTTGTCCCAGCATCTGCTTTCCCCAACCCAGGAGGCCCTGTACCTTGGCTATGCTCATGTCCGTCAGCTTCCCGCAGGCGGTCAGGTCCAGCTCTTGCAGGCGGGTCAAGGTGTTCAGAGAGGTTTGGCGCTGCTCTTGGGCCTTCTGTTGGTTGAGATTAACGACCACCATTTTATCCCGCTCCAGATCCTGGGGTGGGGGGAGGAAAAACCCCATGTTGCCAAAGTTCCTGCTGAATTTTGGCCCGGCATCTTTCTGTCAAAGCAAGTCGGGAAAGGTGGGTAAAAGCAGACGAAAGCTTTCTCGGTTGCTTAGAGGGCCAGGTAGCCTTCCCCCCACTCAGGTGTGCTCTAAGGCGGTGATGGCTAACCTTGTCGTTGTTGCGTGCCAAAAGTGCGGGGATGCGTACACAGGCATGCCTCCACCCATAATGCAATGCATGTGCGACTCGCCCTGCATCCCTGCACATTGCACGCGTGATCCCCATGCATGCCCCGTCCCCTGCGCATGCGTGGCAGATACCCGACAACCAGCTGGCGGGTGGGAGGCGCACGCGCATGGTCTTAAAGACCATGTTGGCTTGGGAAGTGAAAGTCCCTGGATCTAGCGGACCAAAGGTGGTGTTCAGTGGTTGGTGACCAGTTCTGGAGAACTGGTAGCGGGTATTTTGAGTAGTTTGGAGGACCAGCAAATCCCATTCTCTGACTGGTCCCGCCCCCATCTATTCTCTGCCTCCTGAGTCCCAGCTGATTGGCTGGGTTTCCTTTTGTTGCCCAGCACAGGAGAATAGAGCTGGACAGCAGGTTAGTGGGGTGGGGAGGGAAGGGGGATTTTGCAGTAACCTTCCCCTGCCACGCCCACCGAGCCACGCCCACCAAGCCACACCACACCCACCAAGCCATGCCCACAGAACCAGTAGTAAAAATATTTGAATCCCACCACTGGCCATGTTGGGAAGTGAAAGTCCACGGATCTAGTGGACATCCAGGGAAGGTCCATAATGGAGTATGACGCAGGAGTACAGATGCTAGGCTTCCGAAATACCAAAAGGGAATTGGTGGCTTGCAGGCCACTCCTGAGGCTATTTCAACCTCTCCTGGCAGGGTAACTTTCCCACTGTCACCGTGGAGGAAAACTCTTTTTCTCGGTTAGGTGTGGTAAATACTTTGGGTGCTTGTGCTATCAGAAAAAGTGCTCGCCACCCAATAAACGTGCTCTGCCATTAGACAAAAAACTCTGTTTGTGTGGAGACGGTAAGAACAATCGACCAATGGAACAGTGTACCTCCAGAATTTGTGGGTGCTCCATTACTGGAGGGGTTCAAGAAGAGATTGGATGTCTATATTTGTGGGGGATGACGTAGGGTCTCCTGCCTTGGGGGTTGGATTGGAAGACCTCGAAGGTCCCTTCCAGCCCAACGACTCTATGATTGTGTATTTCTACGACTGATGTCCTCTCACCTCTTTGGCGCATTCACACTCCTCTCTGGGCTCCTCGATCCCCAACAAGCCCCAGTCGGTCAGTTCTTTACACCAGGCCAAGCGGAGGACAGTCAAGAGTAAAAGGCTGGAAGCGATGGCTTGGATGCTCCGGTTAGAAAGCGACACGCAAGACGACAGATCCAAAACCCGAAGGTTCTTGCTTAGCGCTTCGGCCAGAGAGAGCACTGTGCTGTCCTGCAGAAGAAGAAGAAGACAGATGATGGGGTTTGTATTCACCTGAACTTCCCTCAGGGGCTTCAGGGAGGCCATGGCTCTTAGTGAATTTCTGCTGGGAAGTTTCACATACAGGTAATTTCTCCATTTAGGGCCAGTGACATAGGGACCGGTTGAAGTTTTGATGGATTCCAACAAAGGAACTTAAAAGGCTTGGATTTGAAATTCGGGTGTTTTCCCCTTCATCTTCCCCTGCCGTCATGCAACTACATTTTGGGCACTTTAGCAACAAGCCTGCATTTATGGCCATTTGCAGGCCATAAATGCAGGCTTGTTGCTAAAGTGCCCAAAATGTAGTTGCATGACTGCAACTCCCCTGGCCTCAATTTACATCACTATGGAAGAGCCGCGGTGGCGCAATGGTTAGAGTGCAGTACTGCAGGCTACTTCTGCTGACTGCCGGCTGCCTGCAATTTGTCAGTTTGAATCTCACCAGGCTCAAAATTGACTCAGCCTTCCATCCAGTGGTGGGATTCAAAAATTTTTTACTACCGGTTCTGTGGGCGTGGCTTGGTGGGCATGGCAGGGGAAGGATACTGTAAAATCTCCAGTCAGAGGTGGTATCTCCGAATTACTCAAAATTTCCACTACCAGTTCTCCAGAGCTGGTCAGAACCTGCTGAATACCACCTCTGCTTCCATCCTTCCGAGGTGGGTAAAATGAGGACCCAGATTGTCGGGGGAAATAGGCTGACTCTATAAACTGCTTAAGGAGGGCTATAAAGCACTGCAAAGCAGTATATAAGTCCTAAGTGCTATTGCTATTTCGTTCTCCCAGAAACTAGTGTTTAGTTTCAGGCTAAAAGTTATTCGACTAAAATACACACATGGTTGGAAAAAATGATTAAACAACATATAGATTTGAAACCTGAAATATTCCTATTAGGAATGGTACCAGAAGGTTATAGCAAAGAAAAGATTTATTTAATTATACATGTACTAACCGCGGCTAGGACTGTATTTGCCCAAATTGGAAAAGTGATAAAATACCGATAGAGGGAAAAATAATTGAAAAAATATTTGAATGTGCAGAAATGAATAGAATGACATTAGAAATTAAAGAAGAAACTGAATATTACATGGTATGGAATATGTTTTATCAATGGATAGGGAATAGAACAACCTAAAAAAGGTTTGACATATTTATAGAGCAATTAGAGAAATATAAGCAAAGTTATAATGTGTGATATTATGTATATGGGAATATATGCGGGAACATTGTATTGTTAGATTTGTTAAGAAGAATATCATTTATAATGTTCAAATAATTGAAATATGTACCCAAGTCGACGCACAATTGAAATGGAATGGTTTGTTGTATATTAAAAAAAAACTATTACAAATTTAATTAAAAAAAATATGGCCATAAGTCTAGAGCAGGGGTCCCCAAACTTGGCAACTTTTAGACTTGTGGACTTCAACTCCCAGAATTCTCCAGCCAGCTACAAGTCTTAGTTGCCAAGTTTGGAGACCTCTGGTCTAGAGCTACCTGGATTGCATTAAGTCCATTATTTAACCATAGTTTAGTGAAGAAAGCACTCACACGGGATTCCCTGTGTTCATTAAGCTAAAACCAAATCAGCCCATGATGGTTTAGCACAAGCGTGCGAACCAACGGTTGAACCCTACCGCTGTCCCAAAAGAAATCAATTAAAGAACTGTCATGGAACTTACCCGTAGTAATGAACAAAAGGCAACATTCAAAGATTTCAGCTTGGGAGGTCTTGCGCCCGCGCCAAAAGCTTTCACAAGCTCACTGCAGCTCACCAGGCTGCATTCAGACACATCCAAGCTCTGGAGGTGCTTCAGGTGTGACACACCCTGGAAACCAGCATCGGTCATTCTCGGGAGCTTCCCCAGGCGCAGGTGCTGGAGGTCTAGAAGCCTGGAATGGATGGCCAGGCCAGCCCGGTCTGAAAGCTCAGAGCAGCCGCTGAGGTCCAGTGTGGTCAGATGTGGCTGGTGCTGACACAGGGTGCTGACCGCCTCGTTGGTCAGATCCTGGCAAGCCTGCAAGATGAATTCCTGCAGATGCAGGTTCTCCACTTGGACCAGGGTCCTCATCGCCTGGCCGTTGATGTTGGTGCCGCTCAAGTCCAGGTGCTTCACGCTGGCGGCTCGCCGGCCGAGAAAGTGCAGGAGGTTGCGGAAAGACAGCAGGGCCGAGGAGTTGTAGTCGCGGGAGCCGCTGTAGCTGTCGAACTCAAAGGTCAGGTGGCAGCGGGCCAGGACGAGCTTGGCCAGCTGCGGACAACAGCTGGTCAAGCGGTTGAAAGTGAGATCGGACAAGTACCGCACGCTGGCCAGGTTCAGCTCCCGCAAATTGGCCAGAGTTTCTCGGGCTTGCGATAATGTCTCTTTTTTGGAGAGCAGGGTGCCAGACATGAAGATGCTGTTGCAACCGCTCAGGTCCAGGGCCACGAGGCTGGGACAAGCCAGGAGGAGCTCCTCGAAGCTGGCTTCGGTCAGGCAGCTGCCGTTCAGGCAGAGGCTGCGCAGGTGGGGCCCCAGGTACTTGGCAACGTATTGGATGACATCCCGGGAAGTGGTAGAGCTGTCCAGGTTTGCCATCTTGATGTCGCACACGTGCCTTTCGGCCAAGGCCCGGATGGTGCCGAGGGAAGCGGAGGAAGCTGGGATGTTGTAGAGGACATTCTCCTAGAATTGGAGCAAAGCAGGGTCCGTCGTGAGGACGGAGACGTAGCCCATCGTTCGTTTAACGACAGGTACCAAGGCCTGGGAGAAAGTGACTTACAGCCCCATCCTTGAAGTTACAACTGCTGCATCACCCCTATGGTCACATGATCGCAATCCAGGCACTTAGCAACCAGCTCGCATTGCCAACGGTTGCTGTGGCAATGGGATCATGATTTGTTGACTTCCAACAAGCGTATTTGTCTGAAATGGTATAGGGTTTCCTGCCTGAGCAGGGGGTTGGACTAGAAGACCTCCAAGGTCCCTTCCAACTCTCTTATTCTATTCTATTCTATTCCTTCTACATTCTATTCCTATTCTGTTCCATTTCTCTACATTCTATTTTTTTTATTCTATTTCTCTACATTCTATTCTATTCCATTCCATTCCTATTCTATATTCTATTCTATTTCTATTCTATCCCTCTTCTCTTCTCTTCTATATTCTATTCTATATTCTATCTATATTCTATATTCTATATTCTATATTCTATTCTATATTCTATTCTATTCTATTCTATTCTACTCTACTCTACTCTACTCTACTCTACTCTACTCTACTCTATGCTACAAAGTCAGTTGGGGAAGCCGGGTTCACGTAACAACCCCATGATTCATTTAACGATTGTGAGATTTGTTTAACACATATGATGATTTACTTGATAAGCATGATAAAAATGGGTGTAAAAATGAGTCTGGTGATGTGATGACTCATTTTACAACTGTAGCAACTTGCAATGGAAAATTGCAGTCCCAACTGTGGTTTTTTAAGTCAAGGACTATCTATATTCCCAAGGAGACTAATTTGATATAGTGTACTTCCCAATTGATTGCCAATATCTTTTTGATGTTTGGAGACACATTTTATAGAGGAAGGGGGATCCCCTTCTTTTAAAGAGGGGAATTTGAAAAGGAAACCTGGGAAGCGAAATGCTCTTATTGCCATCTTTAAAATCTTGTAAAATAAGACAATCTTCCCCACTGTAACAAATCATATTAATATATGGTCACTGGCAAATTGGAAGGCTGAGACGTTGCTCCGAAATCTGTAAAAATTGCCCAATCCTAAAACAAGGGAGATTTTCTAAAAGAGGATTGCTTTCAGGAGGAATAGAAAGCGTAGGTGAGCGTGTTTAAGCCCACAAAGGCTTTACCTGTCGCAGAGAGTCTTGGGCTGCAAAATACCAGGTTCGGTTAACCAGGGATGCCTCTTTTCTGTCGGAAATAGGTAGAAAGCTCAAGATGTAAGTGATGACCTACAAATGAAAAAGCAGAGGAGGCCAACTTAGCTGTTCAAACTGAGAAGAGAGTCAATTTATCCGATGGGAAACGTCATCTAAAGATGTTGAGATGTTTGTTACGCTCTATGGTGTGTGACCTGCTTGGAGATAAAGAGAATTTAATGAATGGAGGAAGGATTGGAAAAACATGATGCTTCCTTGCATTGTGATCCTGTGGAGCGAAAATTGAATACATGGGGTCTGGATGACAACACAAAGGGTGGCCTTTGGACACACAGGGTAATACTTGAAGGTCTGACCCAAGGAAGAGGAGGGTATTTGCTGGCTGAGGACTTCTGGGAGTTGAAATCCACAAGTCTTAACGTTGCTAAGGTTGGAGACCCTTGCTCCATAGCGCCTCATCAGAGGGAAATTCCAATCTGAAAATAAGGAAGAATTTCCTGACAGTGAGAATGATTAATCAAGGGAAGAGCCTGCCTCCTGGAACTGTGGGTGCTCCAGAACTGGAGAATTTTAAAAAATACACGGTGCAAACCATTTGTCTGGGGTGGTAAAAGGACTCCTTGCTTTGCACGAGGGATTGGATTCTAGGAATTAGAGCAGTGGTGGGATTCAATTTTTTTTTTACTACCAGTTCTGTGGCTTGGTGGGTGTGGTGTGGCTTGGTGGGCGTGGCAGGGGAAGAATATTGCAAAATCATCCTTCCCTCCCCATCCCACTAACCTGCTTTCCAGCTCCGTTCTCCTCTGCAGGGCAACCAAAGAAGACCCAGCCAATCAGCTGGAACTCAATGGGAGGCGGAGCATAGATGGGGGGGGGGCAGTCAGAGGTGGTATTGGCCGGTTCTCCGGACTACTCAAAATTTCCGCTACCGGTTCTCTAGAACTGGTCAGAACCTGCTGAATACCCACCTCTGAGCTAGAGCAGGTATCTGGGTTCTCACCTTGCATAATGAAGAACTGAGCCTTCCAAATTTAGAAGCCCTGGCTTATCATATTTTGACGCAAGTGGAAAACAAAACAACAACATGCGTGGCTATCTTAAAACACAATTCATTATCCTATGACCACAGGCAGTCCTCGACTTACGACCGCAACTGAGGCCAAGATTTCCGTTGTTAAGCAAGGCATCTGTTAAGTGAATTTTGCCCCGTTTTCAGTGGTGGGTTTCAAAATATGTTCCTACTGATTCAGAGAACTTGCTTCACGCGTGTGTGTGCAGGGCTCAAACGCCGCCCTCTGTATCAAGGCTGGTGAACTGTGCAGACACGCCTAATGTGTGCAAAAGGGGCTCAGAAACTGCCCTCTTTATCAACGATGGTGAGCTGTGCTGTCTTTTACCTCAGCTGAGTTGTGCCAATCTGCTCTACCACACGAATCAGCTGAGCTAATAAACAACAGAATATAGAAGAGGTAAGAGCAGGTGGGCAGGACCAGCCAGAGGTGTTCCTGTTTTGAGCTTCCTCGAAGACGGGCCGCTGACCGTGATCGTGCGTGGCTTTGGTTCGTGCTTCGGCGTCAGAGAGCCCCAATCCTCTGGATTCGGGGCAGAAGCCACCTCCTAGGGGTGGTGGAGGAAGGGGAGACTGTCAGCTGGGTAGACGGGAGTCGCAAACCCCCTCCCCGGCTTGACAATTCCTCCCTCCCAAAAATTTTCAATATTGGCACACCAGAACCGGTCAGAACCGGCTGAATACTACCTCTGGCCATTTTATGCCCTTTCTTGTTATAGTTGTTACCGCACTTGCTAAGTCAGTAACGAAGTTGTTCAATGAATGTGGCTTCTACCATTGAATCTGCTCATCAGAAGGGTCACAAAAGGGGATCACAATGGACACCGGTTGCCAAGCATCTGAAGTTTGGTCATGTAACCATGGGGATGCTGCAACCATTGCGTGAAAAATGGTTATCAGTCGGTCACTAAACAAACTGTTGTAAGTCGAGGACCAGAAGTGGTATTCAGCAGGTTCTGACCAGTTCTGGAGAACCGGTAATGGAAATTTTGAGTCATTCGGAGAACCGGCAAATACCGCCTCTGACTGGAGATTTTGCAGTATCCTTCCCCGCTAGGCCTACCAAGCCACGCCCACAGAACCGATAATAAAAAAAAAAAAGAATCCCACCACCTGTATTCCTTCCAGAATTTAAAATTACTTCAACTGAATCATTGGACAGAAGTCTTCAGAAGCAAGCAAAGGTATACATGCATTTTGAATATTTATTGCCATAAATTCCAGGGCAGTGGTTTCTGATGTAAAGTCTGCCTCTAATTTGCATCTACATTTTGACTATCTCAACAGTATGCCAACTGTTGGAAAAGGAAACATCCGGATTTCTTCTGCTTTGGCTTAATATAGCGAGAGTGAAATTAATTTCACATGTTCACATGGATGGGAAACCATGTGGCTTAGAAGAAGGAAGTCTTCTACGAATCTTATTATCCACTTGTTCAGTTTAATTTGCTAATAAAATGCCACAAGCTGCTGACCTTTATGAAGAGCTGGATGTGATTAAAGCTATAAAACAGTAAATGATTTACTGTAATTGTCTCTGAACAACAGCAAGCCATTGTGTGTGTGAAAATATTCTGATAGCAGCTGCCACTAGCCATAAGAAAACGTTTTAATTATGGTACTTGTTTGTTTAATCTGAACAAAAACAACAACCATTATATCTCGTTTAGCATTGAGGTTGATGAGTTTTTATGTTTACTCATGTTGGGGTTTGCCAAAAACCTATTCTGATCTAGATAAGATGTCACCATCAAGACCAAAAAGTATTTTGAGAAAAGATTAAAGAAAGCTATAAGCCACAGTTTACAACCTCCAATTGTTGGACCCATGCAACCGGAAATGCCTGAATCAGACAACTTCCAGTTAATTTTAGCACCATGCAGAAAAACCAGTCAGTAGGTTTGTTAATATTGTTCATTATAGAAACAACTAAATTATCTATTATTCCATCTTCTATCTATCTAGTCTTAAATGAATGGTTTATGAAGCAACCAACACTGAGGCTTTGACAAAGAAATCATAAAAAATAACTTTTAACAGTGTTTTGTAAAGGCTCTATAAAATCATTTTGTTGAAGCAACTTTTTCAAGGAGTGGCTTTTATCCTAGAAGAGCTGTGTGTTTTAAAATAAAAAGGGACCTCTTTTAAAAGCAATTGTGCTCAAAAGGCAACACGTTATCTCAATGGAAACTGAAAAAAGGGGTGGGTTTTTTTCTTAGGTACATGCAGTGACATGTTTGTCTCAAGGGGAGTTGTACAAAATAATGTTAGGAAATGTCTGAAACTCTGGATTGGGGTCGGTTTTCTTTTTTTTAAACGGTTTCAGTCACATGAGGAGAGGATGTGACCAAACCTTGCTATGATAAAATGATTATTTTCACATTAAGTTCCTACAGCAACATCAGACAGCTTTGTATTACCTCCATGCCTTCTGAATAGGATTTTATTACCCACTAGAATTCCAGTTTCAGATAACTGTGTATCTGTCTGAGGAATGTGGTGATAAGCTGTACTATTAGAAAAAAACTGTTGTTTTTTCCTTTCATTAATGTGATTATCAATCTTCACTCATTCCTTGACCCTGATGCCATGATTTGGGTAATCCAGTTAACTATTCCTTGTTGAGTGTGAAAATTGTCCTGTTGTTTAACATGACATAAGCCAATCTTCATGGACAAACAGGTGGATTCTTTCATTTAAAAGGGTTTCCAGTGCAAGAACAGAATAAATGAACCAGCAGCAGTAAACATCTATATGCAAACTATAATAACAATTGGAAGAATTTCACTCTGATCAAAGAAACTAAAAAACAAAAATGGAAGGGAATATTAGTAGCTCAGGGTTGAATGGTGTTCTCTGAATTTGTTTTCCTGCAAACATTTCATTACCCAATTAGGTAACATCATTACCTAGTGCTAGTGAGTGTATGGTTTGCTCCTTGTTTATGTACCATATATTTGCCTTGCCAGTGTTGGTGAGAATGTAGTTTTGTCCTTGGTTGTTCTTTGAAGAGAATATTCTTTTTTGCTTGGCTGTTTGTCGGGTTTTAATCCCTGCTTATCAGGGTATTGGTTGCTGGAGAGGATGTCTTCTGATCTTTTTATTTCCTTCTTAACTTTTTTATCATCTCTTTTGAATGGTGTATAAATGTGATATGTCTCTATGTGTCTCTATGTGTTGATGGCTGATTTGTCTGAATGACAAGCTCCCAGGAATTACTACTGGTTTTGGATTTAGCTTGATCTAGCATGCTCATCACAGTTTCCCAGGTGAAACGATGGCTGAATCCATGTGTTGTGAAATTAAGGAGTTTTCATTGTGTCCTGTGACTGCTGGCTGGTTGTCAGAAAAGGGGAAAAGGGGAAAAGGGGGGGGGGGGATCAAGAAAAAGAATTGGGTGTCTTGAACCCTGAATCTGGGTTTACGTATTACTCAAATCTAGGGTTTCAAATCCCCCTCAAAGAAACTGTGAAAATGTGACGAAGTTCCATGAGCGACTGACTAACAACAACAAAATGCAGTCAATTTTCTATTATGAAATTTTGCCTCTTGATTAAGAGTTCTCGAACAATTTTTTTTTTTTTTTCAAACATTCTAAGTGTGGAAATTTGAAAATCCATCCCCTGGATATAACACAATTTATTTGGTTTTGGTATACCAAATTGTGTGGACCTACTCACTTGTTGAACTTGATGCGTTTCAGTTAGGATGTACAGTAAATACATCAATTATTTTATTCCTCAGCAATTTTTAAAAAAAAGGGTTGCCCAGGGCAAGAAACCTCTTGTCAGGCCTGTGTCGGTTCTGCATAAGAGGGTTTGCAATATTTACAATTTCCTTTAAACCTTGCTATTTTCTTTTTTTGAAATCCCACGTGGGTCTCACACTTTATGAATCCGTTTCAGAGACATACTTCCTTGCTGGTAAAAAAGCAAGAAGCGGAGTGGCTCCATGATTAGAGTCTAGAAAGATCAAGTACACAGTTCCTCACTTAGACAGCTTCAGGTGCATCTTAAAGCATCTGCAGGTAATTATCTCCTAAGCATTTTGTCCAGCACAATCACATTTTCCTCTTTCAGGACTTTGCACTGCAATTTTCCCCCAGCATTAAAAATAAAATAAAAAATATTGCTTTACAAAGCAATATCCAGACTAATAATTTCAGCCATGACAGCAAACAATCCTCCTTGCTCCTTTAGCATAAATTTGGCATAAATCTCTGCAGCAGCCCAGCTCCTCAAGTTTAATATCATAAAATCCTGCAGCTGGAAAAAGACCCCAAGCCTCATCTGGTAGTCCAATTTCGGGCAGCAACACCGCCATCCCGGTGGCTGCCCGGTGTCTTCTTAAAATCCGGGCGCGATGGAGAAGACGCCACCCCTGCAAGGTAGACTCTTTCTCCTCCCCCCCCCCCATCTTTAACCGTGAGGAAGTTTTTCCTTAAGTGGATGCAAAATGTAGAAACCTGCAAATTATACACGCGGCTAAGATCAAAGAAGAAAAAATCACAAAAACCCGGAGGAAGAGAAATAGGACATTAGCAACCCCGAAACAAACAAACAAACAAGATACCAGCAGAGATGCTGACACACGTTTGCAGACACGTCTGGATGCATCCACGCGGGTCGAGTAAGAGAACAGGAAACCTGAGAGGACTCCACGGAGCAGCATATCCGCGTCCTTGGTCGTCCTTACCTCTACGGGCAGCCTGCAGATGTCCATCGCCGGCCGGAGGTCATAAGACGAGCAAAAGACAAGAGATGGATAAAGAAGCGGAGCCGCCTCCAACGGCCGGCCCCGCCCGCGCCCCGCCCACCAGCTCTTGCTCCTCCTCCCCCGCGTTCCAGGATCCCCCCCCCCAAGACGATGGCGCGATGCTTTTCGGGAACTGTAGGCATTCCAGAGAGAAGCGTTCCTTGGCGCGGCGCTGGTTGTGTGACGCCAATGGCGCCGCACCGGAAGTCCCGCTGGGTTGAGTTGGTGGTGGATTTGCCTGCGTGCCCTGTAGGTTGGATCGGGGAGTCGTCATGGCGGTGAGTCGGGCATGGGGGATGGGGGAGGCCTGGATCAAGCCGGGGTGGTGGTGGGAGGAGCGGGGGGATATTTAAATCAAGATCGAGGGACGGTGATCATTTTTAATAAAAATTATATGGCTTTTTATCCCCCCTTCCTCCCCCACCCCCCAGCCCAAAGGAAAGGTAGGAACCAAAGGCAAAAAGCAGATATTTGAAGAGAACAAGGATACGCTCAAGTTCTACCTGCGCATCATCCTAGGGGCGAATGTGAGTATGGGGCGCTGGATCTCGGGAGTGGGACGGCGGGTGGGTGGGGAGACGAGCCAGGGCAGCCTGGTTATTTTGGCTCAGGGAAGAAGATCTTGGAACATAGAACAACAGAATTAGAAGGGACCTTGGAGGTCATCTAGTCCAACCCCCCTGCTCGCCCGAACAGGAGAGTCTATTCCAAATATTAGCCTCTTCTACCCAGGATCGAACTTGCAGCCTCCTGATTGTGAGGCGAGAGCTCCAACTCTTAGGAGATCTGCACTTCTGATAGAGGCCTTGTATTTCAAGCAGTCAATCAAAACTGTTGTTATCATAACTGGTGTCATCACAAAAGAGGACCTGGCCTGGGTCGCTCACATTGCAGCCCTGGTCAAAGGGGCCCAGCAGAGATTATACTACCTGAGACTTCTCAGGAAACAACAACGGTGAGTGAAAAACTCTGGTGACCTTCTGCAGCTGCACCATAGCGAGTATCTTAACTGACTGCCCCTGTGTATGGTTTGCCAGTTGCCCAGGGGCAGATAGGACAGCACTCCAGAGGGTTCGTGTCATTGCCCAGAAGGTAATTGGTTGCCCTCTCCCCTCTTTGGAAGAGCTTTATAGCTCCCGCTGCCTTAAGAAAGTTCAAAACATTCTCAAAGATCCATCTCATCCTGGGCACCCTTTTCTTTTGAACTATTACCATCTGACAGACGGTACAGAATAATAAAAACAAGGACAAACAGGCTGAAAAACAGCTTCTACCCCAGAGCAGTAACTATATTGGATTCTATTGTATAGTGCAATACTAATGCAATATCGGGCGTTTTCAATTCAATTGCATAGAATGTGCTTTATTTTTATAGTTTTCTTATGTATGATGTACACTGAAGATGGCATTTAATTTTGTTGTATGAGGTGCAATGTTAAGTAAATCTTAAATCTTAAAAAAAAACACCTTAAAAGCTGCAGCTGTCACTTTTCCCCCATTGGTGGCAGCAGTGGTTGCTCAAGTCCCAGTCTATAAAGTCCTATTTCTAAAGGTAAAAAGTGGAGTTGGAGTTTGATTGGGTGATTGGCAGGTTTAGATTTAGAATACTTTTTAGACCAGCGTTTGTCAACCTTGGCGACTGGAAGATATGGGGTTTTCAATTCCCAGAATCCCCTGGCCAGCATTTCTGGGAGTTAGAACATAGTACGTCATCACTGTTGGAAAGGACCTTGGAGATTGAAGTCCACACATCTTGAAAGTGACTAATTTGAGAAATGGCTTTCAACAAAGAGTTCAACCTCTGTTTCTCTTTCTCTCTTATTTGGATATCCCTTGTTTCCAGGCCATTTACGGAATTGTCAACCTTGGGATCTTCTATATAACAGCCACCATTTGGACGTGGGTGAGTTCTATATATTTTCAGGCCATTATTTCTTTTGAGCCAGGGACTGTCAATGTGCGCTGCAGAGAGAAGAAAAAAAATAGATTCAAGTGTGTTCTTTTTGTTTCGCTCCTCTCTACAAGGAAATAAGTCTTTATTGATCTGTTTAAAATATTGGCTAGGAGAATATGAGATTCATATTCAACAGCTATCTCTCTGCCCCCATCAATCCTCCAGAGCTTAGATTCTGTATCATGTTTGTAAACTTGGGAGGCTGCATATTTAACCATCAGTAAAGCATGCTTCCATTAGTACTGTCTTAATCCTTAACAGAAGTACTTGTATCCAGTTGTGCCCCGTAATCCTGGTTAAAAAGATTGCACTAGCTACAAAATGTGTTTGTCTTCAGGTCTATCTTTCCAAAAATACAAACCTTTGTGCACTTCTCAAACTTTGTGTACTTTACTGAAGTAAGAGTATCTCCGAAGGGTTTTACTGTTTTTTTCCTGGCTGATTTTCATATCCTTCTCTTAGGTTGCCTTTGTGTTCAGCTTGATGGTCTACGGGGCCAGTTACCAATCCATGAGATCAATGGCAAAGCCTACTTTTGCAGAGGGCGGTAGCCTCGCCGATGGCGGAATTGATCTGAATATGGAGCAGGGAATGGCAGAGTGAGTGTCAACACTACCTAAGTTCAGGTGAGCAGATCCTGCTGCCTGAGCGCATACGTAGTTTTCCTTCCTAGCCTCAACCAGTGGAGGTACACATTGGTCCCAGGGCCACTTGCATCTCCTTGTGTGTGACCCCCCCAAACCCCCACCTTTTAAATAGAATGGTAATTTTTAACATGACATAAATTATTAAATTGATAATTATGTTAACAGTTGGGTTCTTGGTGTTCACTGAGCTTGGTTGTTTTCTTGCAGATGTTTCATTACTAATTGAGGTAACCTTGTCAGTGTGCGTGGGAGAGTGGTGTTCAGCAAACTCTAACCCTAAGCAGTCTATTCCATTGCTGAATATCTTCTGCCACTAAAAACTTTTCCTCTAATGTTCAGTTGTGATCAAGATCCCTGCACTTTCTGTCTGTTAAATCCAGTCCTGCCTCCTGGAATAAACAGATGACAAATCTGCTGCATCGTCTGTGTAACTTCGGATATTTAATAACTCCCCAGTCTCTCTTTGCAGCTAGTCCTCAACTTTACAGCTAGTCCTCAACCATAATTGGAACCAGAACCTCCATTGCTAAGCAAGGCAATTTTTAAGGGAGCCATGCCCAATGTTATGATCCTTTTTGTCATGGTTGTGAAGTGCAAATCATGGCAGTTGTTATGTGAATCATGTCATTAAGTGAATCCAGCTTCCTCCGTGGACTTTGCTTGACAGAAGACAGCTGGGAAGGTTGCAAATAACAATGCCATCTCCCTGTGATCCTGCAACAGTTGCAAAAACATACTGGTTGCCAAGTGCATGAATTTTGGTCATACAACTGTCAGGATGCTGCATCGGTCCTTAGTTTGAGGACAGGCTACATCTCACTTTTGTTAGTGCTGTTGTAACTTCAGTTACTAAATATATGGATGACTACCTGTAATTTTCTCCAGATTCATCCTTCCCAGGTCCTTGAACTATTCTTCCTAGGACTTCATTCAACACTATTTGCTTCCAATTGTTAACAATCCCAAACAGATCTCCTAAGTTGCATTGAGGGATGCAATCTAGATCAAGTGAGGTACTAATACCACTCTATAAAGCCTTAGTAAGACCAGACCTAGAGTGCTGCATCCAGTTTTGTTCACCACATTATAAAAAAGATGTTGAGACTAGAAATAGTGCAAAAAGCAACCAGGATGATTAGGGGACTGGAGACTAAAACATACAACGAACAGTTGCAGGAACTGGGCTTGGCTAGTCTAGTGACGAGAAGGACCAGGGGAGACATGATAGTGGCCTTCCAATATTTGAGGGGCTGCCACAGGGAGGAAGGAGTCAAGCTATTGTCTAAAGCACTCAAAGGCCAGACAAAGAACAATGGATGGAAACTGAACAGGGAGAGATTCAGCCTGTAAATAAGGAGAAATTTTCTGACAGTAAGAACAATCAACCCATGGAACAGAAGTTGCCTTCGGAAGTTGTGGAAGCGTCACCACTTGAGACTTTCAAGAAGAGATTGGACAGCCATTTGTCAGAAATGGTGTAGGGTCTCCTGCTTGGGCAGGGGGTTGGACTAGATGACCTACGAGGTCCCTTCCAACTCTGATTATCTGTTACCTGTTTTGTCTTTTTCAGTAACCCAGAAATGTGCAGCGAATCTGTGATTTCTTAGCATAACCTGAAGAAGACGTGCCTCTTATCCACCTTAACCAGACTGTTGTAGGGCTCGCCTCCTGGTCTCATGTCAATCCTATTCAGGCACATTTTAAATGTTTGATTCCACGTACCTTTTTTTTTTAAGCCAGTCTTTTTCGTTTCTGGGATGGAACGTTGGAGAACGATAGAAGACACTGAGGCTTTTGCCTTCTGCTCTAATAAAAATCAGTCTTTTTTTTTTTTTCCTACCCTCAGGCACCTGAAGGATATGATATTGCTTACCGCCATTGTCCAAGTGCTCAGTTGTTTTTCCCTCTATACGTGGTACTTTTGGCTCTTGGTAAGTTTCTTTTCTTACTTATTTGTCCACAGCCCGTTCTTCCTCTTTGCAGCTACATCAGGGAACCCGTGTGGGTCAAGCGTTGAGCTAGAAAGCAAGAGACCATGAATTCGAGTCCAGATAGTTGGGAGTAGTATGCTAACTCTGTAAACTGCGTAGAGAAGGCTGTAAATAGGGGTGGGATCTGACTGGAATAACCACCGGCTTGGGGAGCGTGCGCATGCGCATCAAATGCGCGTTGCACACATGTGTGCCTATCAGCTCCGGCAAGCACTTGACCACCTCCAGCTGACGAGTGGCACTCAGCTGGGTCGCGCAAAGCAGCCGAGGAGGAAAACTCAGCCGCTAAAGGACAGCCTAGAGCCCAGGTGGTCAGGCGGGAGGGCCAAACAGCAGACCCAAACCTCGTTCCAGAGAACCGGCTTGGTGTCAGCTGCTCTTCGGAGCTACCAGTTCTATAGAACCGGACTGA